ACTTCTATGATATAGGCATAGCAATAGAACGAAGACCTCTAGAAAACAGACACCTCTATGATGTAGGCATAGCAATAGAACTAAGACCTCTAGAAAACAGACACCTCTATGATACAGGCATAGAAATCAACTAAGATCTCTAGAAAACGGACACCTTATAATATGGTCAGGTTGGTGGTTTGATCATAAAATTAACTTTCCGAGGAATCCGTTCTTACTGTATGCACTGTAGAAATGACATCGAGAAAAAAAATACAAACAAAATTAGATAAGATATTCATTAAATTACATCTTTTTATGATAGAAGTTTTTCCGTTTTTCCAGGATGCCTTTTTACAGTGTGGAATTATTGAAACTATATAATATCATATATTGTGCAGCCGGTATCCAAGAGAATTCTCTCAGCCATAATTATTTTCTCAATTTTGTTAATATGATCGACTGGCTGACAGACKGAAACATTTGCTTTATTGCCTTCTGACACTGTTGTCATGCAGATGTCTACATTTACAAAATGTTACATGTCTTGGACCAGTACCTGAGCATCCAATTAGTAATAATTTGATGGATCTACTTTCTCGTTTACCTTATTAGTAAATCCTCGTTCCCTGACGTATTTCAGAAAAGACACTCAGCCTTCTGCTTTGATACTTTTATACATTGTTTTTTTTTGAAAATAAAATCTTTTTTTAATTATAGCGTTTTTCGTGTAAACATCATGACAGAAAAGTTTCGCGAGTCAACAAGAGACTCCCAAAGAAAACACACACACACAAAAAAAACAGAAAACTTGAATAAATTCAATTATGAATTGTCCAACTTGTTTCTAAGCTGCATGACTCTGGTACACCTAATGTGAATTTCATCTCTTTTAAGCTAAACATGTATTCATAGAATTAACTCCAGGGGAAATATGCGTAATTTGTTGTTCTGGAATAGTCATTATATACGGAATTAGCCAAACAATATGGTCGCATGATGGATCTTAATTTAACAATGTCTTGTTTATCTCAGAAAATCCGTTAAATATTGTGAAATTATAGTATAACGGTCATTAGAAAATKGTTTATGTGAAATTCATATTGGATTATCTCAATTGAATTTCGCAAAAAATGTTCACATGATTACATAAACCCCGCAGGCTTTCTTTCCTTGACTAACGACCCAAATATACTAACAATAGGGGTAATTGTTGGAGATATATGAAAGGTAAAATTACTTTACCGCTAGCTTGAGCTTTACATTAGACTCGTTTGCAAGGGAAGTGTATAAGAAGACCGTCTTCTTGTTTTCCTCTTCGGTTGAATTATGTAATCGCTCAGGTTTTCTGGTTAAGCCATTTAAGCGCACCATTCGAAATGCATAAGWTTTTTATTTGAGATATAACCATGTATTTTTAATTTAGCGAGAAAAACCGCCACGAGCGGCTACAATTCGGTTTGTTTGTTTGTCATGCTTATAAGTATATATAAAAAAACACAAACTCACACAAGTTATATTTTGTTTTAAACTGGTAAAAGCCGGATTCTCAATTTCAATTGTTCACGAATTGATTAAGCAATCATCCCAGGAAAATAAGAAAGACAATCAATAAATTACAATCTCTGAGGGATTTGAGTCTTTGGTATATCTCGCACGATCAAAAGCTATCTTTCATCTTCAATATTAATTCCATATTAAATATCACAACAACCACATTCGCGATGACGTGCTGCAGAATCTTGATTCAATAAAACGTTCCCTCCCACTTACCAAAATTCACAGATACTTTCAACCAAAAACGAATGCCACTAAATAAAGTTCTGTTTTAAGTCACGGTGGATTACATCATCACCTCTTGTCTTTTATAATAACGCTGCGGATAAATAGAAAAGAATTTAAACCTCAAGGCAAATGTCACC